ACAATATCATTTAGGTAAACCACAACTATCGATCAAGGAATTGGTAGAGTACCTTGTTCATCAGTGTGTGTAATGTTGCCGGTGCATTGGTCAAGTTAAAAGGCATGACAAGGAACTCAAATGAGCTATATCGTGTCACACATGCGATCATTGGCTCATCCCATTCCAAAATCCACACTTGATAGTATCCTAATCACAAATCGAGCTTCATGAACCACTATGCTCCGTCAAGTTGGTCGAACAAATTGGTGATGAGTGGGATTAGGTACTTGTTCTTTATCATTAGTTTATTCGATGCCCGGTAGTCGATGCACATCGTCAATGATCCATCAAGTTTCTTCTGGAATAGTATCGGGTGCCAAATGGAGCATTCGATGGTTGGATATTATGACATCCTGAAATTCGACCCTTTTCGAGATATATGAAATGATTATTTCATCGATGCACTGTTAGTTAAATCTCGCTCCGAATTCATCACTCATGAGAGGACTAATCAATGGGGAAAGGCTATTGAGGAATTAAGTATGCACGACTTGAGAACTTGACCATGGATTGACAATTCGACCATAAGGATTGACGAGGGACAATTTTGAGCCATGATAGACCGATCAATGAATAGTTATAGAATGATTCGCCAATAGTATACAATCGGATCGCGGGTGATTCTGCCCGACCATTGTATGGATTGCAAACGACCCTAAACCAATTCCTAATAATCGTGTACTTCGGAACTAGTGATTAACCCTTGCAATTACATGACAACCGAAGTCACCCATGACTCGAGAAAGCTTAAATGTGGGTTGATATTGAATCAATCACAGGTTGAATACGCGTAACTCCTAAATGCCAACCGTTAGTTTGAGATATACTAAAGTCGCAATTGATCGATTTGACCATGAATTAGAATTAAGTTGGGTATTGAACTTTGAAGGATTTCAAGACTAATCTATTGGACGTTGCCTTATTAAACCATTTGTTTATCAGTTTGCTTGAAATTCTTGGAAAAGTGAAATTTGGACCGGAATTGAGAAGCCATGAGGAAATTAGACCACGAGGAGAAAGAAAATGGCTCGGCCCATTTGTAAGCCCATTAAGCCTTTCAAGCCCATTTCTCTTCCAATTACCTGTTCAAGCCTAAGCCCAAGTTTGTTACCCCAAGCCCAAGCCTATGTGAATAGTGGTCATGAATAGTGCCAAGGGCTAAATTTACCAAATTGCCCCTCTCATATTCTCTTTATTACATTTTTGCCCTTGGATATTTACATTGGCTTGTTTTACAAGATTCAATCCTAGTCATTGATCTTGGCTTGTTGGGCAAGAAGTGATCTTGGCCATCCATCTTTGGGTGTGTCTTCATAGACACTTTTTTTTCTCTTCCTCACTCTTTCACTTCGGTCTTTCTTTCATTCTCTCCCTTAGTCATGGCCACGGGCCGGTTTTGGCCCGGAACCAGCCCGGGTCAAACCCGGGACCGGCCCGTTGATCGGGCCGGCGGTTCGGAACCGGAACCGGCCCGTGGTCTACGAGCCTGGTTCAGGTTCCAATAATTTTGGAACTGGCCCGGAACCGCCGGTTCCGGGCCCGGTTCCAAAAAAAAAAGAAAAAACCTTCTGCTGACACAGCACAGCAGCCCCACCCCCACGTTCCCACCCCCAGGCCCCACCTCCAGTCCTCCTCCTCCAAATCCCTCCTTCCCCCCTCCCTCTCCCCTGCGCCTCCTCCGCCTTCGGTCTTCCCCTTTTCTCCTCCGCCCGCCCCTCGTCTTCCCAGATCTGACCCCTGCTGCCGTCGCCCCCGCCCATGACCGTAGCCACCGACGCCGATGCCCCCTCCTCCTCCCCCCTCGCTACCCTACGCCTCCTTCCCTTTTCTCCTCCGCCCGCCCCCCGTCTCCCCAGATCTGACCGCCGCCGACGTCCCCTCCTCCTCCTCTCCCCACGACCCTGCCCAGCCTCCGGAGGAGGAGGACCCCCCCGCTCCTCCTCCCCGTCCCCGTCCCCATCCCCGTCCCCCTTCCGGCACCCTCCTTCTCCCCCTCGCCGCCGCCTCGGTCTCCCGCTTCATCTCCTCGCCGCCTTGAACCCCACCTCCGCCATCGTGGCGAAGGCCACGAAGCCCGAGCGACGACCGACGGAGGACCAGCGACCAGGTCTGCAATTTTTATTTTATAATTTATTTTATTAATTTTTAAATTATGAACCAGAACCGGTCGGAACCGAAACCGGCCCGGAACCGCCGGTTCCAAACTGGAACTGGAATCGCCCCTTGTGGTTCCGGTTTCGGTTCATACATGGCCACGAACCGAAACCGGCGGTTCCTGAACCGTGGCCATGACTACTCTCCCTTGCATTCTCTCATTCCCTTGTTTGGTCGACCACCACCAGCCACCATCACTGTCGCCACTAGCCACCGTCGCCGCCGTCCACTGTTGTGACCGCCATTGCCGAGCCGTCCGCCGCTTTGCCGCCACCATTGCTTAGTTTTTCTTTGGTTTAAGAGTAAGTTACTCTCTAAACCTTGGTTAGTATGATAGGTTGTTAATGGACTTGGTTTAGGGGGTGATTAGGGTGATTATATGTGGATTAGTTGATAGCTTATCATGATTTGGTTGACAGCTTATCATGATTTGGTTAATAGCTTATCATGAGTTGGTTGATAGCTTATCATGATTTGGTTGATAGCTTATCATGGGTTGGTTGATAGCTTATCATGAGTTGGTTGATAGCTTATCTTAAATTAAGTGATAACTTATCATGCATACTTGTCTTATATGGTGATAGGTTATCATATGATAAGGTTTGATTCTTCATGTGTATAAGGATGAGTTGTGCATGGTTTATGTGGTTTGGAGCTTCTTATACTATGGAAATTGGTTGCCCAATTTATAAACCTGGTTTGCAAACTTTTACAAGGATTTTCATGGACATATAAGTGAAAATCCCGAGGTGTCAGGTTTAAATGTCCAGTTTTATGAGTGGAATGGGCCAAGGGAGTTTGAAAAGTTTGATGGGTTTATTGTGTGTATGTGATCACGTATGAATTTATTACTGCATTTTTACGGGTGAAAGTTGCAGTACTTTGTTGTGTGAGCACGAACTACGTTTGCATTTGGCTAAATGCGGAGATGATAATGAATTGTGTGGTGGTTGTGCTTGTGTGATCACGTAACACCCTGATGCGTTTTACGCGGGGATTGAACCCGTCCCAATGCGTTTTATGCGAGATAATACCTGATTTCTCGAACGCCCGGAGAGTGTCCGGATGCCGAGTCACGGTAGAGGCCAGACCGATGCTCCTTATGGAATGCCATCCTAATGCCTTTAACGTGGGATGTTGTCGTGCCTGATGGGGCGGGGTGATGCTCGGTCATGCCGAAAGACCACTAACCTGATGCGTTTTACGTGAGTTGTGCCGTGGCCTGAGGATCGTTAATAATCTGGACTATCACGAGTGTGATGTGCAACGATGAGTGCTATGTGTCTGAGAATGATGAATGAGCATATCTGGATTATTAAATTGTGGCTATGGATGATGATGCAATGAGATATGTTGAATGTGCCTTTTGAACATATACATTGTTGTGGCCTAGTTATGCGCTCGTTGGAGCGATTGCCGTCGATGCTAGAATTGCATCTTTAGGGCGATTCAAAGGCAACGTATTCTCCTAAATGAGGTTTAGAGAGTTTACTTGCTGAGTTTATCTCATTGTTGTTGTTTAACTATTTTTAGACCCCTGATTATGAATCGACCTCCCACAAGGTTCGGGGTGCCCATGGACATGGGCGCGATAGTAGTGGAGTATCCGGTCGGACCAGATAGAGCATTTCAAAAGCATTCGACAACTGTCTAGGTTGATGAGGGGTTAACGATGTGGAAACCACTCGAATTTCTTGCTTGGTTCATAAGAGAAGGGGATGAACTATTTGGTCTGATTAGAGGTTTTGACGGACTCCCTGATGGTGGAGTTGGAGAGGAGGTTTGGGACCCTATGGATCTTGACCCTCCGGATAGAACTATTTATGATCTAGAGACCGATCCAGATGACATGGAGTCCGATCCGGAGACACCTCCTGGATACCATCAGTTTGGGTGATGGGTTTGGATGCCCTATCTTTTTGGCCGCCCCCTTTTGGTTAGAGGAGTTAGGTTAGCCCGACCACCCAATCCCTTTTGTATGTGTGGTCTGCTAGGAAGTGGCCTTGTGATAAGGCTTGTATTTATGAATCTTCTAGGGGTTAACGAAATATTTATAAAATGGCTTTGTTGTTTCGTATCTCAAAGTGTTTTCCTTGCTATCCCACTTTGCTGATTGTTGTTGGGGAGTTTGAGTACGCTTCCGCATGCGTTTAATTGAAGGATAAAAAGAATGGATCGGCGATACGTCCTGAGACATCGCATTTCCTTGACCAATGAAGGATGTTGGTGCGCTCGTGGGTTCGAGGTGTGAAATCATAGTTGAATTGGTATCAGAGCAAGGTTAGCTTAATTCAAGTTTGATCGATGCCTGGAGTGATAAGGTGCGATAGGCATTGGGATAGTTAGTTAGGAAAACATTCTATGCTTGTGATTGGAAGGCATTGAGGTTTCATCTTATAGGATGTATTATGCATGTCTTGTGATTGATTGCTTGTGAGTGATTGCTTATGATTGGATTACATCTTATGTTGTAGAAGGTGTTTGTTTGTGATTCGCTGCTTAAGATTGTAGACTTGAGTAGGCGATTTAGATCTTTAATTCCCTGATGGAATTGTAAACAGGTTTCGTTAGAATCCTGTTAGATGAGCTCCAGAGGAAGGGGAACTCGAGGCCAGTCTAGTTCGTAAGCGAGGGCACAAGAGGACCCTCGAGTGGATGGGATCTTACAAGCTTTCGAAGCGATAGGGAATTTGATGGGTTGGCAGGCTCAAGAACGAGCTGCTGCTACAGCTACTGCTGTTGAGGCTACTGCCACCGCCCCTAACGACAACTTTGGACAAGGAAATGATAATGGTGAATGATCAATGCACCAGCTGGTGGAGCAATTTTTTAAGCTGAAGCCGTCTAAGTTTAATGGGACGGGTGATCCTGAGGCTGCAATCCTCTGGATCAAGGAGCTGGAGAAAGCATTCGCACTGTTGCGATGCTCCGGGGAGGACAAGGTAATACTAGCGGTGTACCAGATGCAAGGTAACACTAGTAATTGGTGGGAAGCCACTCAAGGAAAGGTCTTCCCCGAGGGCACAGATCTGGCTTGGAACGCTTTTGTCAAAGCTTTCAACATAAAGTCCTTCTCGGATTATGTGTGGGAGCAAAAGATGGTTGAATTCCAGCGACTTCGTTAGAATCACCTTTCTGTGGATCAGTACGAAGCAAAGTTCGTTGAGCTATCTAGGTATGCACCAAGATTGGTAGATGAACCAGTGGAATGGGCTAGGAGGTTTAGAGATGGTTTGAAGCCCGAGATCAAAAGTCAGTTGGTGCCCCTGAACTTGAAGGACTATAATGAGCTGTACGAAAGGGTACAACTGATTGAAAGGGACACGGCTGAGCGGGCTGCTGCATCTGGATCATAGTATGCGCCGAATAGGGACAACCATCGCTTTGGGAAGAAACCGATGGTTGGAAATAAGCGCTTCGTCCCTCCTGTTAAGAAGAACATTGGAAAATCGGCATACAATCATGGAAACGTGTGTCGATTCTGTGGGAGGAGGCATGGGAATGGCCCTTGCCTAAGTGGGATTGGAGCTTGTTTTGGATGTGGGCAACATGGTCATCAAGTGAGGAATTGCCCAAACCGACCTATTGGACCACAAGTGCAACTGCAACAATCCCGAGTAGGACAACAAGCTGGGAATGGTCTGCCTATCAATCAGAATCGACCACAGGCGCAAGGAAGGGTGTATGCTGTGGCAAGGAAGGAAGTGGAGGATTCGCTTGGCATGGTCACGGATACGGTCTCTCTTCAAGATCATGCTGTTTATGCATTGTTTGATTCGGGGGCTTCACATTCATTTGTTTCTGAGCAATTCATTAAGTTAGTTGGGCTTAAGTTGAAATCTTGGGAAGTAACTCTTCGCGTTATCACCCCTTTAAAGGATGAAGTGTTAATTACGGTAAGGTGCTTAGGCTGTAAGATAGTTATTGGTGGTAAGGAGGAAGTGATAGATTTGGCGGTTTTGGCAATGTATGACTTTGATGTCATCATCGGGATGGATTGGCTCGTTAAGTAAAGAGCTGTAATGGATTGTGGTAATAGGATGATCCAATTTAATCCAATTGGTCATTCTAGATATAAGTTTGTGGGAAATAGAGGAGGAACCTCGATCTCTTTGATTTCGTCACTTGAGGTAACTAGTCTATTAGGTGAAGGATGCCAAGGTTACTTGGCGACTATGGTTAACTCGTTGGTTGAGGAACCAAGGCTAGAGGACATAGTCGTGGTGCGTGACTTTCCTGATGTCTTTCCGAAGGAATTGTCATGATTGCCATCTAAGAGAGAGAGAGATAGAATTTGTGATTTAGTTGGCCCTTGGGACGGAGCCAATCTCTAGAACACCTTACAGGATGGCGTTGTCAGAATTAAAGAAGTTAAAGGTGCAGATGCAAGAGTTGCTAGAAAAAGGGTTCATTCGCTCTAGTGCATCGCCGTGGGGAGCGCCCGTGTTATTCGTAAGGAAGAAGGATGGCTTGTTGCATTTGTGCATCGACTATCGGCAGTTGAATCAAGTGACCATCAAGAACAAGTATCCGTTACCAAGGATAGATGACTTGTTTGATCAACTGCAAGGAGCTTCGGTGTTCTCCAAGATAGACCTGAGGATGGGCTATCATCAGTTAAGGCTTAAGAAGGAGGATATACTGAAAATGGCATTCCGTACACGATATGGTCATTACGAGTTTACCATGATGCCGTTTTGATTAACTAATGCCCCAGCTGCTTTCATGAATTTGATGAATCGAGTATTCAAGAAAATTTTGGATTAGTTTGTCATTGTGTTTATTGACGACATATTGGTATACTCGAGGCATCCCGAAGAGCACAAGTAACATTTAAGGATGGTTTTGCTAATCTTAAGAGAAAACGCACTTTACGCTTAGTAAGTGTGAGTTCTGGCTCAATTGAGTAGTGTTCCTTGATCATGTGATCTCTGGTGAAGGAATCTTAGGGGATCCAACCAAGATTGAGGCAGTCATGAACTGGCCGAGACCAATAATAGTGACTGAGGTTAGGAGTTTCCTAGACCTGGCAGGCTATTATAAGACAATTTGTGGAAAGGTTCTTCGCGATCGCTACTCTTTTGACTTGCCTTCTCAAGAAGGAAGTGAAGTTTGAATGGACGGATAAGTAAGAGGGGAGTTTCTAAGAACTCAAGCACAAGTTGACTACCACTTCAGTGTTAACAATACTGTACGGTCCTGGAGGGTATGAGATGTACAGTGATGCATCGCTCAAAGGATTAGGATGCGTTCTAATACAACATGGAAGAGTGGTTGCATATGCGTCCCGGCAGTTGAGACCTCATGAGTTAAACTACCCGACTCATGACTTGGAATTAGCGGCGATCATCTTTGCCTTGAAGATTTGGAGGCATTGTGTGGGGAAAAGTTTCAAATTTTTACGGACTACCAAAGTCTGAAGTACTTGTTTTCCCAAAAGGAGTTGAACATGAGATGTGTGTACCTGACAATGTGGAATTCAAGGATAAGATTCTGTCAGAAGCACATCATAGCAATTACAGCATCCATGCTGGTAGCACCATGATGTATCAGAATCTACGTCAACATTATTGGTGAAAATGACATGAAAGTTGATGTAGCCAAGCACGTAACCAAGTGCTTGACGTGCCAACAAGTGAAAGCACAACATTACAAGCCGGGTGGATTGTTACGACCACTCGAGATCCCAGAATAAAAGTGGGAACATATCATAATGGACTTCGTGATGGGTCTACCAAGGAGTCAGAGAGGTAATGACTCTATTTGGGTCTTAGTTGATAGACTGACTAAGTCTGTACATTTCATCATCGTACGAAAGGATTTCGTAATGGATAGATATACAGAGTTGTACGTGCAACATATAGTTCGTCTTCACGGAGTACTGGTGACAATTACTTCGGATCGAGATCCTAAGTTCACCGCTATTGTCACGCCCCGAACCCACAAGCGTGCCAACATCCTTCCTTGGTCGTTTAGTTGCAACGTCTTAGGATGCGTCGCCAACCTATTCTTTTTATATTTCAATTAAACGCATGCGGAAGCGTACTCAAAAACCCCAACAACGATTAACAAAGTGGGATAGCAAGGAAAACACTTTGAGATACGAAACAACAAAGCCATTTTATAAACATTTCGTTAACCCCAGGAAGATTCATGAATACAAATCTTATCACAAGGCCACTTCCTAGCAGACCACACATACAAAAAGGGATTAAGTGGTCGGGTTAACCTTACTCTTCTAACCAAAAAGGGGGTTGTAAAAAAGGTAGGGCATCTAAACCCACCATCAAAGCTGATGGCATCCAGGAGGCGTCTTCGGATCAGACTCCATGTCAACTGGATCGGTCTCCGGATCAGAAACGATTCCATCCGAAGGGTCGAAATCCATAGGGCCTCAAACCTCCTCTCCAACTCCACCATTAGGGGGTCCGTCAAAACCTCTGACGGACCAAACAGCTCATCCCCTTCTCTTATGAACCAAGCAAGAAATTCGTGCGGTTTCTACATCGCTTTCCTCTCATCAACCCAGACGGTTGTCGAATGCTTCTAATAAGCTCTATCCGGTCTCACCGATTACTCTCCCACTATCCTGCCTATGTCCATAGGCACCTCGAACCGTGTGTGAGGTCGATTCATACTCGGGGGTTTGAAAACAATTAACAAACAATAATGAGAATAACTCACCAAGTAAGCTCCCTAAACCCCGTTTAGGAGAATACGTTGCCCCCGGATCGCCCTAAACATGCAATTATAACATTGATGGCAAATCCATAGCAAGCCTTTGCCTTGCCTTAACTATACACATGAGGCAATCCACTCACCCAATTCCAACCATCAAAACATGGCAATCGCTCCAACGTGCACATAATGGGATTACAACAACGTATCTAATCAAGAGGCACATACGACGTATATCATTGCATCACCATGCACAACAACAATTTAATAATCCAAACATGCTCAATCATCACATTCAGGCACTTAGCACTCTTTGATGGAAGTCGCATTCGTGATAGTCCAGATTATTAACGACCCCTCGGGCGACGGCATAACCCGTATAACACGCATTAGGTTGGCGATCTTCCGGCATGATTGGGCATCGTCCCGCTCCGTCGGCGACGGCATCGTCTTACCAACCTCAATGATGAAATTCCATAAATGGGTTCGTTCCGAATTTCATTCGCGAACGACTTCGTCTCACCCTACCCCCGTGACGGCATCCAATTACCAAAATTGAGCACGACTTTCACGACCACGACCAATCCCTAGGATTGGCGGTCTTCCGGTAACACCAAGCACAATGGAACTCTTAGGTGATCAAGCACACATACGATTGTATGTGATCAAGTCCCAATTCTTATATGTGGAAATTAGTCAATGCAAGGTTATTTATGACGTACAATTTCCGATGCATAGGCTACCATGAAAACGTGCTCATATAACAACACCAATCAATTTGCCCATTCACTTACTAATCAAACTTTTGCAAGTTCAATGTTATCATTTAATCAAAACATGATACAACATAAGTCATCCTTTAACATGATAAGCTATCACACAACCAAGATAAGCTATCAACTAAAACACGATAAGCTATCACCTCAACACATGATAAGTTATCACCTCAACACATGATAAGCTATTACCTCCATACATGATAAGCTATCAACTAAACATGAAAAGCTATCACCTAACACATATGATAAGTTATCAACTAAACATGATAAGCTATCACCTAAACACATGATAACCTATCAACTAAACATAAGATAACCTATCAGCTAATCCACCTATAATCAGCCCCTAAAACTAATCCATTAACAACCTAATGTCCTAACCAAGGCTTAGGGAGTAACTTACTCTTAAAACCAAAGAAAACTAAGCAAATGGGGGCGGCAAATAGCCACGGTAGCGAATGACGTGCGACAGTGAAGTGGCGGACGGCTCAACGACGACGTGCTATGGCGGTGACGAGGGCTCATGGCGGTGATGGTGGTGGCCGAACAAGGAGAGTTAGGGAGGGAGAGAAAGTTGTGACGGTGACGACGGCTAGTGTTGGCGATGACAGTGGCTGGTGGTGGTGGCTGAACAAGGGGAAAAAGAAAGTGCAAGGGGGAGAGTGAAGACCAAAGTGAGAGAGAGTGATCAAGAGAGAGAAAGGGTCTATCAAGGCACACAAAAATGAAGGGCCAAGATCACTTCTCGCCTAATAATCCAAGATCCAATGGCTAGGAACGAAGCTTCAAAAATATCCAAGGGTAAAAATGTAATAAAGAGAAGATAAGAGGGGCAATTTGGTCATTTATGGCCGGCCAATCATGGAGGGTGTAGAATGACCATTGTGCCCTTCAACAAACCAATGAAATCCAAAAAGGCTTGGGGGTAAAAATGTCCTTTTACTCGAAGACACTATTCAAGCCTAAAAAGTTAATTTCCTTCTAGAAGACTTAAATGGGCTTACAAATGGGCCAAACCTATTTTCTTTCTCCTTATGGCCTACTTCCTTTTGGGCCTTGTCCAAATTCGTAGGTCCCCTCGTGGCTCCCAATTTTTTATCCGAATTTCACTTTTCCAAGAATTTTGAGCAAACCGACAAACAGATGGTTTAATAAGGTAACGTCCAATAGTTTAGTCTTGAAATCCTTGAAAGTTCGATACCCAAATTCGGATTCTAATTCATGGTCAAAATCGACCAATTGCGACTTTAGTATATCTCAAACTAACATGCAGCTTTTAGGAGTTACGTGTATTCAACCCGTGATCGATTCAATATCAATTCACGTTTAAGCTTTCTCGAGTCATGGGTGACCTCGGTTGTCATATAATTGCGAGGGTCAATCGCTAGTTTCGAAGTACACGATTATTAGGAATTGGTTTAGGGTCGTTCACAATCCATACAATGGTCAGAGAATCACCCGCGATCCGATTGTATACTATTGGCGAATCATTCTATAACCATTCATTGATCGGTCTATAATGGCTCAAAATTGTCCCTTATCAATCCTTATGATCG